GCTCAACCATAGCTTCAAGTTTAAAAAAAGAGCTAAACCATAGTTTTAAGCTAAAACTACCTAAACCATAGCTTAAACCAAAAATGAGCTAAACCATAGCTTAAAGCAAAAATGAGCTACACCATAGTTTAAAGCAAAAATGAGCTACACCATAGTTTTAAGCAAAACATTTTTCTAAACTTTAGCTTAAAGCTAACATTAGCTAAACCGCAGCTTAAAGCAAAAATTTGCTAAACCATAGCTTTAAACAAAAAGTTAGCTGAACATAGCTTAAAGCTAAAATGAGCTAAACATAGCTTAATGTTAAAATGAGCTAAACCATAGCCAAAAGCTAAATTAGCTACACCACAGCTTAAAGCTAACATTAACGAAACCTTAGTTAAGAGCTTTATCAGAGTTTTATCGGGTCTCTCTTGTAAATGAGTCCCTGAGGCTCAGTGGGATTAACCTGTATAAATAAAGGTTGAATGAAAAAAAGAGCTAAAATGATCAAAAGAGTAGCTAAAATGTAAAAGCAGCAGGATACAGCCCGCAGCTGAAGCAGATTTCAAAGAGAACAAAGTTCCAAGTTCAGAATTTAAAAAGTGTTTCGATGGTGAAAATGTTTGTAAATAAAGTTAAATACTTTGAAAAGTATAAAAGCTTTAAAATCCATAAGTCACAGCGCCCATCTCCTAACTGAGCTGAATGTTTTGATCCAAGAACGATTAAACAAAACAACAAAGTCTGCAGACATTATTTACAGAAAACATCCAGAAATAAACAAACATGTAAACAAAATGTGAAGTTTTATAACAAATAAGCCAAATAACAGCAAACTTTGGATGGTTAGAACCCAAGGAGGTTCGTAGAAGATGTCTCATTTAGTGTTTGTGTGGAGACAGGCCTGCTGGTTCTGATCCGGTCCAAACCCAAAAACCAGCAGTGAGGCTGTTCCTAAAGGGAGCAGGAGCACAGATGTCTGAATCCCTCCCTCCCTGGATTTATGTTCGAAAAGATGAACAACAAACTAACGGTGTTTACTTTTGTGCCCTGCAGCTGCCGCACCGGGTCCAATCTGTCACCAGAACCCCCAGCGTCAGAACCGGCGCCATCTGAGCGAGAAGGGAGGGGGTGAAGCCTCTGCAGCAGATGGTGACGCTGCAGCAGAACTTCTCCAGGTAGGATCTTCATCAAACATCCAACCTGCTCGCCCTGAGGCACACCGACTGGACGGGCCGGGCCCAAACCCAGAACCCAGAACCCACCTCATCAATAAAGCAGAACTTCAAGGGATCTGAAACAAGATGCTCCAACATCCGTGGAACTAAGGAGTTTTACTTTTCCTGACAAGTTTTATTACTTTTGTGAAGCTTCTCTTCCATGTGTCAAACTGAAGGCCCGCGGGCCAAATCTGGCCCTTTTTCACATTTGTTCTGGCCCTCAAGATTATATTTTAATTATATTATTAAATATTTTAATCTCATTTCAGCATAAAATATCTTGGGGAATAGAGTTATGTATTTCAATATGAATAATTTGATTATTATAATTTGACGTGTGCAGCATGGAGGAGACGGTCCGAACGCTGCTGCAGAACCAGGACTCGCTGGAAGGGCCCAAAGTGGACCCACTGGACCTAATGAAGGCTTACAAGGTACCGCTTCTCCTTACAGGGGTGTTCACAGGAGAACGCTTCTGTGTGACGTTCAGGCGTCCATCTTGGATCTACTTTTCAGGACAAGCTCCTGGAGGAGATGTGGAAGCAGCAGGACAGTCTGGAGGGTTCCACTGCAGCGGAGGAGACGCCCGCTGCACCACAGGCTGGAGGGGGGTCGGAGGAAAACCCACCGGATCCCAACCCCATGCTGGAGCGCCTCCGGGCTCTGGAGGTAAAGTATTCACCTCGTTGACCTGTTTGAAGATGAGCTCATGACGTTTGAACGGGTTTAAACCCCCAAAAGAGCCATGTTTGTTCAAAAACTGTCGCCTGACCACAAAGAGGAGCCGAAGTCCAAAAAAACCCTCAAGGACCTTCAGAAAGTCCCGAGAACTGCTGATCCCGACCACCAGAGGAACGTCTGAAAACTAAAGAACTTAGTAAATCGTTTTCTGCTGTTAAAGGAGGTTCTGACGGTTTTGAAGTTCTGTGTCGGTGCCGAGATGAACGTTTGGACCCACCGGCTGTGTGTGACGTGTCTCTGCAGGTGGAGAACTCGGCTCTGTCGGTTGAAAACGACAACCAGAGGAAGCAGTACGAGCGCTGCCTGGACGAGGTGAGGCCTCCAGCACCGCTCGCAAACCGGTTCTGTTGTAAGACGTCGGATCCTGCACGGGTCCACGCGCAGTTCTGTTAGATTCTACAAGGAACGAAGATACTTCAAGGTCTCAAACAGCAGAGTTAAAATGTACTATTTACCAGAGAGGTCCAGAACTGAACCAGACCTGGTTTTAATGCAGCCAGGTCCAGAACTGAACCAGACCTGGTTTAATGCAGCCAGGTCCAGAACTGAACCAGACCTGGTTTTAATGCAGCCAGGTCCAGAACTGAACCAGACCTGGTTTAATGCAGCCAGGTCCAGAACTGAACCAGACCTGGTTTAATGCAGCCAGGTCCAGAACTGAACCAGACCTGGTTTAATGCAGCCAGGTCCAGAACTGAACCAGACCTGGTTTAATTGCAGCCATGTCCAGAACTGAACCAGACCTGGTTTAATGCAGCCATGTCCAGAACTGAACCAGACCTGGTTTAATGCAGCCAGGTCCAGAACTGAGGGCCTCGTCATTTGAGCTCAGAGATTTCTACAGATTCTTCCAACAATGTTCAGTCAGATCCTCTGGACAGTTTATTTTTTTGTTGATATGTTTCGACCTTCATCCAAAGGACTTCATCAGTTCGAGGAGCCACAACAAACTCGGTCCCACAAGCAGCACACTTACTGAGTGACTGAGTTTCTTGCGGCTCCTCGGACTGATGAAGTCCTTTGGATGAAGGTCGAAAGGTCTCAACAAAAAAAAAAACTGTCCAGAGGATCTGACTGAACATTATTAGATTATTTTTACCTTGAACATGAATTTTGATCTACAGATTCTTCTAATCTGTGGATCAGATTATGAACTGGAGATGATGGAGATTAAAGTCTCTATGCAGGACCTTTATTCTGAAAGAGTTCTACTGGTTTTAGACTCAGACTGGTGAACCTCTGCCCATCTTTACTTCTAACGGTCTGTTTCTGTCCAGTCCTCTGACTGACCTGCTGATAATTCACCTCATAATCTACTACTGTATTTTTCAGATTATAAGGCGCATTAAGCGAAACAAAACAGTCATAAAAGTCAAACTTTATTCGACTCATTCACAATAACTCTCAACATTGTTCAGCTGAACCACATAAAACCAGTTCGAGACCAGTAAGCTCAACCAGAATTAGCACATGAAGTGCACTGGATTATAAGGCTCACTGTCGATTTTTGAGAAAATTAAAGGATTTTAAATAAAAACAGTTTCTCATTTTAAACATTTTAAAAGTCCTGCTGGGAACACACACACACACACACAAAAAAAAAGGTTTATGAAATTTGCACGTCTTTGCATCGTGTCAATGTTTGCTGCTGACGTTCGTTAGGATTTTAATTGATCAAAGTGGTTCAGTTCAGCTCCTCAAACTGCACCTTCGCCTCGGAGACAACAAAACGAATCTGACGTCCTCAGACTGTTGAAGAGAATCTGTCCGCTCAAATAATTCCCGCTGGGTTTTGCTAAAACGTTTAAATCTTCTTAACTTGTCTCCAGAGCAGCTTCCTTCAAACTGAATCTGTGTGATTAATTTACGGTTTTCTAAAACTTAAGTGTTTGGTGTCTCTTCTAGGTGGCGAACCAGGTGGTCCAGGCCCTCCTCACGCAAAAGGTTGGTGAACCGGGTCGACCCAAACGAGTTCCTGGACTACAGAAAGAAACGGCCACGCCGTTCAGACGCTAACGTTAATTCAACAGTTGCATTTTTTTTTAAACGATCGTCCGCCAACTTGCAGGTGTGCTGGAGCTCAGAGTTTGTGTTTAAGACGACCCTCGGCTACTACCACACCCCGTTTCAGCTCCGTAGCTGCGTTCAAGCCAACATGCTGGGGCGGCCATCTTGAATCAGGTTGACTCCAGGAGTGTGTCCAATGAGTTGATTTTTATTTGTTTGTCCTTTGGTTTGTGAGATATTTTGCTAACAGACGGACAAACGAGCAAGACACAGGTCACTTACCTTTTGTGGCAGTGAGTAATAACAATAAAAAGCTTTATTAAGTTTTAAATAAATACTTTAAAACCAATAAACCTGGAGCTTTGTGGAGTTGAAAATGTGAGAGTTGTTTCAAAGTTTAATTTGGAGTTTTGTGTCGCTCCCTGTACGATTAAAATAATTTTTGTTTTAAATCATCACCCATGTTTTATCCGTTCGTTCATGTTTTTGTTTTAAGTGGCTAAACTTGTGAACGATCAAAAAACTTATTATGTTCTTTTTCAACATTTCAAGCATCAACATGTTCGGCTCGTTCAGGACGTTCCTGCTCTGATTTCTGCTGTTTGTGCAGTTTTTTACTGTTTGACATATTTAGCTTTGTCGGCCATGTTTTTATCAAAAACTGAATGGAGCTCTGATCACAGCCTTCAAAGCCTTTAGCTGTTTACAACTTTTTACTGCTCATTTCAGCTGTTGTTCTGCTTCAGTCGTTTTCAGCTCCTTTGTGCTAATTTCAGCTTTTTTATTTATTTATTTTTGCTTCTTTCTACTAATTAAGCTTTTCTCTGTTTTTTTCAGCTTTAACATTTCTGCTACATTCATCTATTTAGCTACTTTGCTAATTTCAGCTTCTATGTGATCTTTTCAACTTATTTCTAACTACTTCCTATTTTGTGCTAATTTCAGCTTTTTGTGGCTTTTCAGCTACTTTCAGCTGATTTTCTGATAATTTTAGCTGTTTCGTGCTCCATTAAGCTTCTTTCGTCTAATTTAAGCCTTTTTGTGTTCCTTTGGAATTGTTTTTTCTAACTCTGGCTTTTTACAGCTTTTTGTGTTTTAATAACTTCATCATGTTTCTGCTACTTTTAGCTTTTCTCGTTTTTCTTCTTTCAGCTACTTTATTTTATTTTTGTGCTCCTTTCAGCTTCTTCGTTCTTCTTTTCAGCTATCGGTGTATTTCAGGTCAGCTTTAGCTTCTTGAGCAGCGTTCAAGCTGCATTTCCACAGGAAGTGACATTTGTCCGTTCTAATTACGATCACATGCCGCCAAAGATGAGATGACTTTGTCTGTTAGCAAAATATCTCAAACCAATGGAAAGATTTTATAGAAACTCTTAGAAAATAAATGATCGATTGTACATCAACTACTTTTAGAGTCGACCTGATTCAAGATGGCTGCCTCAGCTGATGGACTGTAGCCAACAGAAAAATGGTTAAAAACTGGTGAAATGGAACTATATTGAGGTAAAAGTGGAGGTGGTAGTAGCCGAGAGTCCTCCCCAACACATACAGTAAGATGAACTCGGTGTAAAACTGTGGCACGAAGGCGGCGGGCGACGTGCATTCCTTCAGGGAGGCTCATATTTTAAATGATAAACACTTTTAAACGCTTTCTTCAGTAAACAGAAGGTGAAACAGGGTCAGTGGCAGGAAGTCGTCGTTTTTTTTGAGCCGTTACGTCGCCTCGTGTTCTCGCTGACTGAACCCTGTCTCGTTCCTTCATCTCCAGGACCTGAGGGAGGAGTGCGTGAAGCTGCGGACTCGTGTGTTTGACTTGGAGCAGCAGAACCGAATCCTGAGCGTTCTGTTCCAGCAGCGCGTCAAAGCGGCCGCCGCACCTTTCTCACAGGTACCGACTCACCCTGACGACCTGAACCGGCCCAGAAACACCCAGATAACCAGATCCACCGGGCTGAACGGCACAGGCTTACAGCTGTTTCTGTAAAAACGGGTTCAGTTTGTGTTTTGTTGTTTTGACCGGAGCACCTTCAGCACATTTAGGTTCAGGGAGGTTTATATTTAATGTCAGAAGCGCAGAGTGTTTGTTTAATTGGAAAACTCTGAACCGTGGAGGAGATAATTGGACAGAACATCCTCGCTCTTGCATGGACCCTCACGATTCTTCATTTGGTGAACATCACTTAGTTTGGCGTCCGCCTGCTGGAGTGAATCTGCTCGTCCCCAGACCAACGTCAGGAGAGAGACGAAGCTTTAGACAGAAACCAACAAACAAGTGGAGTGGGTCTGAAGGTTGTCGTCCTCAGAGGACAGCAGAAACCAAACAAGAGCGCCGCCTTCGGAACATCAAACGCTCGTCTGCAAACTGTTACACAGCAATCTGCAGCAGAGGCGCGGACAAGCAAAGACCTTTTTAAACTTTGACCTTTGTTTGTGACCTTTACCTTGGAGCTGGTGAAGAGTGTACGCGACACTCCGTCTAGCGATGAAACACAAGTGTGTGAAGTTTTGTTAAATTATCTTGAGCGGATCAGAAATTATGGGAGGGTCAAGACAGCCCATACCATGATGCATCCGCCTTCGGCTGGCGGAGGAAACGAGCTGAAGCGATTTGAACATCGGACCTACAGATTTCAAGTAGTATAAAAACTCAAACTTGTTGTTTCGTTTGAAAAAAGCTGACTTGTGTTCAACAGTTTATGTGTTCAAGATGTCCGCTGTCATCTTTTCATTGAATTAAAATGTTTTAAAGTCGTATAAAAACGTCTCAGGCTCCAGTGGAGTCATGGCGGCCCGTTTGTGTTGCAGCAGATGGTCCGGGTGTCCTGACAGGTCAGTGTTAGCGAGACTCTGCGTGCCGGTATTCAGTCACCAGGTCTGCTCAAAGCGTCCAGGTAGTGTGCTGGATGTTGGACCGGGTAACCAGATTTTAACATTAAAAAGTTGGTTTTATATTTTCAGTGAATAAAACACTAAAGCTCTGAGGGTTTAGTTACTCCGTACTCAAGTTCCTCACCCTGAATGTGTGTCGCAGTCCTAGTTTTTCTGCTGGGTGTTGTGGCAGTTGGTCTGGACATGTTGGTGTTCCTGCTGTGTTACATGTGATACGGCTAGAAATCCTTCCACCGGGTTCTCCCTTGCTCAATTACCTGGTGCATATTTCATATAAACTCTTTAAGTAGTCAAAACCATCGTACATGGTGCTTTGTGCTTGCTGGATTTGGGAATATTAACAATTATTAAGTATTTTTGAAAGTTTGGTGACATCATTGCATCTATATTCAAGTCCTTCCCCCTGAATGTGGGTCCTAATCTTTATTATCTTGTGTTGTGGCAGCTGGTCCGGCAGGTGCATGAAGTTTAGTGTATGCAGGCTCCTGTGGCACCACAGAACGGTCAAACAGCCAGAAATCTGGCAGCGTATCTGACCCACATCGTGTAGGTGGTGAAACGTTCGGTGTGTCCGGTGGATTTGGGGACGTGTGACCAGATTCTGACAGTTTTATTTGGACTTTCATGTTTTTGTGAATTAAACAAAACAATAATCTGAATCTTAGCGAAGGCTTCCGATGGTAGAGTGAAGTCAGATTCAACTCCCTCACCCTGAACGTGAGTCCTAATCTTTATTACCTTGTGTTGTGGCAGTTGGTCCGGTTCCCCAGGCTCATTAGTGTTAATTAACTTCCTCTGTCTTTTGTCAGGCTTCCACTTGCTACAAAAGTAAAACCCACTGTGGAAAATAAAATAAAATAAAAAGAGCTTCACATCACATCCTGGTTCTGTTGCTCCGAGGTTCTGCTGAAACATCTTCCTAAAATCCCAGATTAACCAACAGCTTCACAGGAACTGACTAATTGATAAATGATTGATTGTTAACAGAACTTTAGCTGATTATCATCGGTTTAACAAATACATTTCTTTATTATCCAATAATTTTAGTTACTAATGTGGTCCTAATTACTTCTATAATAAAACACTTTCTGTTTAGCTCTTATTCTGAAGTTTTACCAGCTTGTCTGCCTCTCACACCTAATTTGAAGTCTCTTCCTGTGGGATCGACCCGGTTCTGACACCTGCCAGTTTACGTCTGAAAACCTGCAGCTCAGGGTTCTGGGCCGTCATTCATGTTGACAGAGAGAAGAGGAGGTTTGTGTTGTGAAATGTGTAAACGAGTTGAGAAAAGGCGACGTTTGAAGAGTTGATCTGACGCTGATGAAATGTAAGACAAGCAGCCATTTAGGATGAAGCATTTTAAACAGTAAGAGACATTTTTATGTGTTTTCGGCCTTTAGTGGCAGTATTCACCTCCACACTGAAGGATTTCCTGGGAATCCTGATTAAAACAGCTCTTGGTGCAGTTTAGGACATTTCTTAGACAAACTGTCCACATGGGAACACCGTCCTTCCAAAACGATCCTTTATCTTTAAAACAACGTGTTTTTTTTATAAAAACATTAATCCACAGAAAAACAGGAAACGACCCAGAATGCAACACAAACTGAGCCACGTCTGTCTTCTGTGGGTTTTGTAGGTCGGGTTAGAGGCGGGGCGATGTCATCGTTTTCAAAAAGTTGTGTTTAGGCCATCCACACGAGAACGCTAAAGAAGCTGAGGAATTCAACCCACTCTGGAATCTGGTTCATAAAATCATTGTTCAGACCGGTGTTTCCGTGTGAATGAGACCCATGAAGAAACCCGCTCTCTTTCAGTTCTTAGGTTTTACCTCTCAAGACAAAAAAAATAAACATCTGCCCTTGATCAGATCTGATCTTGCGTGAACGAAAACACAACAGATTCCACGAGCTGTTATTTTTAAAACAAAAATTAAGCCAAAGTGGAAAAACTGAAGCTCGTAGAACCTCCAACAACGTTCAGTCAGGTCATCCGAACGGTTTCTTTGTGGCTGAGATGTTTAGTCCTTCATCCAAAGGACTTCTTCAGTCCAAGGAGTCACAAACAACCTGGAGTCCCACAAGCTCCACACTCACATGGTGAAAAAAAAACAGTGTACTGGTGATAAGATGGTTTCTGGGGCCCGCCCTCTCCCCCATCAACTCCTCTGGGGCAGCCATGCCAAAATGGTTCAAAACGCCAAAGTTCATGCGTGTAGAACATCCTTCAGCAGCAGAACTCTGTGGTTTTCTGTATCAGCCTCACGTGGTTCTGGAGGAGTTCTGGTCCACACTTTTTCCCAACGTTAGTTTCTACTCGGCTCTCTGAAGATCCACCACAACATTTCAATCAGGCAGAGATTCTGGACTCTGACTGGTCCTTGGTTTTGTTCTTGTTGACCCATTTGGTTGTAGATCAGCTGCTGAGTTTGGGATCATGGTTCTGTTGGTCCCAGTTTGGTCCAAGCTTCAGCTGTTGGACAGATGGACTCACATCTCCAGAATTCTTTGGTTTACAGAGGAGTTCCTGGTCCACTCAGTGACTGACAGGAGCCCAAACCATCAGCCCTCCACCACCGTGCTGACAGCTGGGAGGAGCTGTTTGCTCAGCGTGAGGTTTCATTTTATGAAAATTTATCAGATTAACACGCTAGGAAAAACAAGAATAAGACATCAGTTCTGAGTCCAGTAAAACCCTGAGACACATTCCTGGTTCCTGCTGCTGAGACGACCGATGGAGGTTTTGGATCTCTGAGACTACAGCTCTCCGGTTGTGTATTAATTTAACACACAGAGAGAGAGAGACTTATGGGTAAATTACTGAAACAGAAAATTAGTTTTTGCCTCTGAGATATGCGTGTTAGGTTCCTTAATCACTCTGACAGCACACCTGTTCCCTGTGAGGTTGACTGACTCCGGGTCAGATTAGAGATGCTCACCGGGCTCAAACAAACATTAACGAGAAAACGAGACGAGTTTTTCTGCTCTGACTTATTGTTAGAGTTTGTTTTTAAGGATTTGTTTTCTGGATGGGAACAGATGTTGTTCTAAACCCTGTAGATACTTTTCTTCATTGATGGAGTCTTTCCAGATGTGTAAGCAGCCCTTAACAGAGTTACTAATGCACCCCCATACCATCAGAGAGGCAGGCTTTTAAACTGTGATCTGATAACAAACTGGATGGTTCTTCTCCTCTTTAGTACGTTGGATGTGGCGTCTTCAGATTTGGATCCACCTGACCACAGAGCAGTTCTGGACTTCACCTCAGTCCATTTGAAATGAGCTTTGGTCCAGAGAAGACAGCAGCGGTTCTGGATGGTGTTCACATCTGACTTCTTCTTTGTCTGATGGAGCTTTAAGCAGCATTTGTGGATTAACTCTGTTTATAGATGATATTTTTAAGATCACTTTTAAATTTCCCACAGTGACTCGTCGTTTTAGACTTATCTTTTGCTCTGCGTTTCTGTCTCCCTGTCATTTAGTGGTGCTGCCAGGGAGTGAAAGAGACTGGTTTGTGGTTACCATGGTGACCGTTATGAGCCACTGGCAGCAGCGTTGACATTTCTTTTGATCTCAGTTCTGTTTACCCTTCTTCTACAGTTTACGGTTTATTAAAGCACAAGAGTTTATTGCCAGCAGTGCAAATAATAAAGTGAGCCACATTAACGGCTCCACTTTAGGTAATTTACTGCCTCAATTGAAATTAATTTACTTCTGTTAATTCAATTTACACACAGAGACATTATGGAAAAATGGGGAACATTTAAATCTAATTATAATTTCATTCAAATGAAACAGTTGTGCATCACTGGTGCGTACAGCAGTAAATATGAGTTTTGTATTTAGGCCAGCACACACCTGGTTTTTATCGCCGCAGCTGTTAATGTTTAATATTCAGAGCCGTGTTGGACTGGAGGTAAAACGTGGTGATTGTTGCTTCAGAGCTGGACCAAGGTTGACTTTGTTCCCCAAAGAAAACTGAATCTTTCAGTTTCGGATTTAAACAAAACGTACACAAATATTATAAAACGTCCAGTCAGAGTTAGAAATTTTAGTCAAACCCATCTTGAGATATTTTACTAACAGACAACAAATCATTTTGTTACTTTTATTTAATGCAATAATTTTTTTTTTCGCTTTTAGGCCGGCTTGTAACGCGTCCAAGAAAGATCAATTAAAAATATCCTTGTGGCTAACTCGGCTACGCTTACATTTATCTAAAATATTAAAAATACATTTCATTTTAAGGTGTAGGGGAAGTGGTGGAGCAGAGGTTAGCAACGGTGGGCCTGGGAAGGTCGACTCCCTGTACCGACATCAAAATGTGGGTGGGAAAGGTGAAGCACCCACACCTGGCTCCACCCTCATTTCCCCACTCTGGGCCCTTGAGCAAGGCCCTTAACCCCCACCATCTGCTCCTTAGATGGCAGCTCTCTGCTCCACACAGAGGGCTGTGGTAGCTCAGTGGTCTGTGGTTGTGTCAGGAAAGACATCCTGCATAAAACAATCGCCAAGTCTTTGTGCAAGTTAGTTTGATGTATCGACTCCTGAAGAAGGGAGCAGCCGAAAGAAAACAATTAAAAAATATGTAGGTGCCTTTCATGACACTCAAGAACACCGTACGATAAAATACAAGAAAAAATACAAAAAGTCAGAATGGATGAGTGGGTTGAGTGTAGGTGGGTGCGTTGATTTAGAGGTCTGTGAGATACTGAAGGGCGAGGTTGTTGATGCTTTGTATGAAACGTGATATTTAATGGGGAGCCAGAGAAGATGCTGCAGGACAGGGTTTATATGACTGGTGGAAGGGGTGATGGAGGTGGCAGAGATTTGGACCAGTGTGAGCTTAAGGATGGATTTTATAGGTAGAGCAAAAAGAATGGAGTTAAGCTAGGTGGGATGACCAAAGAGTGAACCAGAACAGCAGCACTGTTGGGTGAGAGGCATGGACGGAGGAGAACAATATTAAGGAGATGAAAGTCAGCTAAACAAGTGATGTTACAGATATGGGATTCAAATGATAATGTGTTGTCTAGAATTACATCCAGACTCAACCTGGGGAGAGGGGGAAACTGAGTAATGGAAAAGTTGGTTTTTGTAAGGGTGGATTTAGTGCCAGTGAGAAGTTCTGTTTTGTCACTGTTTAGTTTGAGGAAGTTGCTGGTGAACCAGGATCTGATATCACCAAGGCAGTCAGTGGGTGAAGTGGATGGGAGGGTGGAGGTGGGGCTGGTGGACAGATAGAGCTGGGTGTCATCTGCGTAACAGTGGAATTGGATGCTATGTTTTTGGAAGATGTTGCAAAGCGAAATAAGGTAGATGATAAAAATGAGAGAGCCGAGGACAGAACCTTGTGGGAGAACAGAGAACCTTGAACCAAAACAGAGAGGGGATGGATGAGAGGTAAATGAGTTTAATTGAACAAACTGTGTGCAGTCAGGCTGGTATGAAATAAACCAGTTAAGGGGTGTGGCTGAAAAAACAATATGTGAAAGACCATCAATGAGGATGGTGTATGAGATGGTGTCAAAGGCTGCGCTTAAATTGAGGAGGATGAGGATGGAGAGGAGTCCAGAGTCAGCAGCTGTGAGGACGTCATTAGTGATTTTGGTAAAAGATTTTCTGTGCTGTGAAGTGAGCGGAAGCTAGATTGAAAATAAAAGTTCCTTAATGTGCACAGTCCTTGATGAACAAACCCATAAACCAAACAAGATTGATCTCAAGTACTGTTGCCAAATTATAAATAAAGAACTTGTGTGATCTTTTATCCCTACATCATGTGTTAGCCCTATAGTTTATTTAAACAGAAAAGCTAAAAAATATATATATATATATATACATAAGAAAAAAAAAGATTTCAGCTGTTCTCAGATCCGTTGGTTAAACCCAACACTGCTCTGTTTTGCTTAAACTTTTTCCCTTCTCTGATTGCCTTCAACTCACTGACTGTAATTAGGTCCAAAGATTAATCTGCAGCACGTGGCCTTTTCCCGCAGAGCTCCTGAAATAAAGCAAAGTATGGATAATCAAATATTAGCTGAATATCAAAGAATGGACCAGATCGCCGCAGTCCCCAGATCCCCGATGCAATTATTTTCTTTTCCCGTTAATTATTGCTAACAGATGACTTTGAGAGGATGCCGGTCATGGCGGCTTCACAAACGATCGATGATGTTTTAAACAGGGTCACGGCACTCGGCTCTGTTTGGTCCCTCAGATTGGATTGGTCTTGTACAGACTGAATATTTAGCAGGGCTGTATAGAAAGACGTGTCTTACTGTAAACCAGAGTTTACAGAGTCAAACTGTTGTTTTTAGAAGGAATAGTTCAACTTTATTGATGTGTTTACAATTTAAAAGACTAAAAAAAAATCAAGTAATACTTATAATTTAACCAGACTATCCATCATCATTTCCTTTTGTATAACTTAAAGAGATGAACTTTGTTTATACTTCAAGGTATATTATTCTGAACAGTAATAAAGAAACTGTTTACATTTTAAAAGGACAAGAATGAAAAATGGCGCCGTCTTCTTTGGATCAAAGCTCATTTGAAACGGAATGAGGCAAAGTAGAGAACTGTTCTGTGATGAGATGGATCCAAATCTTAAAATATGCTTCAAAACCATGGACTACATGGACTTCACATCCTCTGTAGTAAAGAAGAGAGGAGCCATCCAGCCTATTCTCAGCATACCGCTCAAAAGTCTCCCTGTCTGATGGTATGGGAATGCATAAGTGCCTCTGGCATGGGCAGCTTACACATCTGGAAAGATTCAATCAGTGCAGAAGAGTATCTAGTTTAGTAGCAGTATTTAGAACATCAGCTTTCATCCAAGACTCTTGAACAGCTAGACTCCTCCGTCAGACCAGAAAGGAACTTTCCTTTCAAAATCTACATCAACTGGTCTCCTGAGGTACCCCTAAAATCTTCAACAACTGGTCTCCTCAGGTCCCCTCAAACCCCCAACAACTGTTTTCATCTGGTCCTCTAACTGTTTTCATCTGGTCCTCTAAAAACTCTACCAGCTGGTCTCCCCAGGTCCTCCAAAACTTCCAACAACTGGTATTCTCTGATCCTCCAAAACCTCCAAGAACTGGTCTCCTCAGGTCCTCCAAAACCCCCAAGAACTGGTCTCCTCAGGTCCTGGATGTTTACAGATTGTTGTTAGAAAAAGAGGGGATTCTTCACAGAAGAACCAAGGACCTGAAACAACTACTATGTTACCATGTGTGAATAAAATATGGGTTTGAGAGATTTGAAAATGATTGCATTCAGTTTTTATTAACTCAGTTTCACAATTTTTGGGGAATTAAAGTTGTAGATTTTTTTATATTTAATAGCAATAAATTGTTTTTTAGACATTTTGCTGCTATTTCCGGCCTCTTAACAATTTTTGACAACATGTTCTGGAGTACATTTAAACACTGACTATAAACTTTAAGTTTGTCAAATAGTGAATCCTCTGAATGCTGATCAGTGGAGCGATGTGGGTCTTTATGGTATTTTATTTATCCTGTAATTACTCTGTCATGGACAGCAAACTGTGATTTGCTCCTTACATTACAGATGACGTAAAAATCCATTAATTTTAGCTCACTTTGTTGTCTCTGATCAACATGAGCCCCCTTATCTCCTGTGCTTTAACCTCCTAGGACCTGGCATCCACATATGCAAGAGTTTGTGTCCTAGGAAGTTAAAATATGAATTATGAATCACGTACAAACACAACAGGAAAGTTTGAGATTTGAACCCACAGCCTGGTTGTTTAAAAAAATATCTCAGTTCTGAACTTTGGCTGTGCATTTCCAAACAGGAGGCGTCTAACTGCCGGCGTGGAAATAGTACAGCACAGCTCAATTAGCCTTTGGATGGAAAAATACAGCTTTGCACACAGCATATCAATTTATTAATAACTTTGATAAATAGAGAGCCACAGGGCATGAGCTGTATATACGGTTCAGACTACAGAGATAATCTGTTGGATATGTTTAAAAAATATGAGCAAACATTGAGTTCACTAGAGTGATTGTGAGCCATGAGGACAGTATTCCTGGTAAATAAACTGTGTGGTTAATAAATGTGTCTTTTAATAAATTCTGCTTCATAAATAACTTTTCATATTGACACTTCTGATTGAGTGCAAAGTCTTATTGAATAATATGAGATTGGTGCCGTTAGACAACCTGTTAATGGTTTTTATATTAATTATTTTCCAGGAGGTCCAGAGAAATGGAAAAGCTGGTATTCCTGCCGGACGGTGGCCCAGTTTGTTGAGCCTGACGTGTCCACGCAGCAGTGGAAGTGGCAGCGAGCTGTCGCTGTCGAGTGCTGGCAGCGAATACTCCAGTGGCTCCCATACTTGGGCAGATGGACGAGGCGTCTCCAAGCAGGTAGGAATCTTTGTTTTTGTTCACAATCTATTGTTTTGAGATACTTGTACTAAAATTACATATCCCCCTTGTTCTGCTCAGTGTGCCTCAAGTCGGGACAAGAGGATGAGTACAGGATCAGTGTCCAGCAATCATTCGGCATCCATTGAGCAAACAGAGCTTGGATGGAAGGAGGGTCATATTATGAAAGGTCTAAAGCGTCTTCAGATGAAAAAGTCCAAAGAGGCTTCCTCACATGCTTCCGTTTCACACTGCAAAGACTGCATGATCTCAAATGAGGGCATCTATTCTTTTGGTGTCAAGTCTCACCAACAAGGAACTGAAGCCAACAAGGTAGCACCTTCCAAGACTGACGCAGGGATCGGCACCTTGGACTCCGATGATCCAGATGATGAAACATCTAAATTAGTCAACAGGGAATCCAGTGGTCAACCAACCAAAGACCATCTTTGTTTGGACAAACTAGATTTCTCTGAAGATGATGACAAAAGATTTCAAGCAGATTCTGTCAGCCTTTCTGCAGATTCTGGTCTTTTCCCCTCACCTGACTCAGACAGCTTCTTGTTTTTGGAGGCGCCCACACTCAAACCTGGCGAGAGCCCAACTGATAGCCTTACACATCTGGAGAAAATGGACAAGAACTCACTAGAGAAACAGAAAGTACCAGCGTTAAAGTTCAGCGATAGGAACAATAACCAAGAACGGTCCACCGATCGTAAATCTAGACTTGATTATAACAAAAAGGAACAAGTGGGACTTCCTAAGGAGCCCTCAGAAGCAAACGAAGTGAGCTCATCAGTTCAACACTCTGCAACCAGAGCTTTGAGTTGCATGAATGAAGCAAGACAGCGTAGCTCCTCCATGGAGGTTCCTCATTGCAGAGACCAGGCAAAGGGAAGCAAGAACCAGGCCATCATCGAATCTCCACAGAGGAGACCAAAACCTCAATTCTGTGACTCGGCAAGGAGGGCTTTTATCCTGCGAAGCAAGAGTGCAGATGGAGGGCAAGAACAACTTAAGCATATTCACTCTCCTTTACATCAAAAGCTTATAAAGGGTCAAAGACCCAAAGTACAGTCAGACCCAAACCCCTCAGGACACAGTGTTCCAGGCAAGAGGACAAATCTCAATAATGCCAATGGTTCAAGCAAAAGCTCCTTAAATAAAACTGAAAAAGATGAAGATCTTACTATAGCAACAAATTCCAAGTCTCTTGAAAATGTAGAGCAGCTGCCTCCTGTTGTGTCCCCTGTGAAACAGTCAAAGATTCTTAAGTCTTCAGGTCTCAAGAGTCCAACAAAATCCTCTCTGCAAATCACAAGAGTCTTGAGCAGTGACTCTGTGGAAGAGAACATCTACGACAACCTTTCCTGCTCGCCCCGAAAGCAGCGACGCCAAGAACATCACTGCGATGTTTCCCAACCAGAGCACAGGGCACCATCTCAGCCGTGGCCTCCAGGTCGAAGTACTTCTCTCCTTTTTCGAAGCAGCTCTGAGAGCTCGGCCAAGGATCAAAAACCAGCGAGTCAGACTCAAAGCTCTACTACCGGTAAACCAGCATCAACCAAAACCAGTGAGTTCTCTTTTGTTTTAGAGGCTCAAAAGTCCAACATGATAGAAGATCATCAACATCCAGCGCTGCAAATAGGTGGTGAACTGAGAAAAGATGTCCCTGCAAAAATGTACCATACCAGTGTCTCAAATGTCCCAATTCATGAGTCTCAATCCACAGAGTTTCCAGGCAGAAATAATACAAGCTGTGATGAAAATGGAGCCCCTTTTATATTGTCAAGTCAGAAAATCTTGCAAAGATCCCAACAGAGTGTCAGTGAGCCAAAACTTTCAGAGGTCTTACCTGCTGGGTTCACTAATGTCTACTACCAAGGGATTTCTTATCCCCAGACTTCCAGCTCAAACGCTGTGAAAAGAACACTTCCTGTAAACGCTAAGTCTCATGAGGCAATCGCTGGACAGGACACAAGCACCTTTGTCATTTTTAGAAGACAAAACATAGACAATGGAAGGAACCTCCAGACCTTTCAGACTTTTTCATGCGATCCCCAGGTGGTCCATGATAAAACTCGCAAAAAGATTGAGACCCGCTGTAACTCACTGGATTCTGAACCTATTCAACCGGTTGCTTTGGACGGCGGTGGGATGTTAGATTGGGGGTTTGATGAGCAAGGGTGGCTATTTAAGCGGTCTGTGTCCGTATCTACCAGACCTCTTCTCAAACCGGTGATGGGCATGAACGGGGCCAAGGCTCGCAGCCAGAGCTTTGGCGCACGCTACATAGACAGACCAAGCTTCAACAAATCCGGAAAGGTTCGCACTCAGATCAAAACCCATTCAGGAAGTTCTTTGAATTCTCTTGGCGATATTCTTCCAGGGAGCATGAGTTGCTCCAGTAGCTACCATTGTCCAATGAATCGATCCCTTTTAAACAACTTCCTTATCGAAGAAGGACTAACGGTTCCCTCACATCTGGGTTCCTCAAGTGAAAGACTTCAAAGCCTTAAACTCCAACGTGAGCAGGCTAGACGGCTTCAGATTGAGCAACAGTTTTCAAGCGCCTTCGGGGAGCCGGTCTCCGAAGAGCCAGAGAGACAAAGCACTATAACCACCATTGAGGAGAAGGTGATGCTCGGAATTGAGGAGAACCTGCAAAAGTCTCAGGAACAAGAGAAAACCAGTGAAGTAAAGCAAAAGTCCAGCTCAAGCCTGGCAAGTTGGTTTGGTTTTCGTAAGAGTAAACTTCCTGCTACAAGAAAGGCAGATCCACCAAAAGTCAAAGAGGAAAAGCGAGAGCAAAAGATCACGTCCCTTCTGGGAGGAAAGAATACGAAGTTCGACAAAAAAAAAGAGAGACGGAAAAGTGACGGAAAGGACTGGTAAGGAATTCATAAAAATCCAAATACCATCTTTAAACTGATAACACAACAGCTGAGATCTGAACTGATGAAGTGATTCTCTAGGTTTTCTTTCACATCAAACCTTTTGGGATCCATTTTTCAGCTCTCAGATTTGTTAGACATGTTTTAAAAGATTATCTCAGCCAGGTTTTATCAGTCAGGAGTCATTTATCAGCCCAACCACCCTGGGTGTCCTGAATCAATATCAAAAGGGTGCAATTCTGTTGACGAAACATTTTTCTTTCAGCTCGGCGGGAAGGAGAGAGTCTCATGATGCGGTACGAGCTTGCATCTCACAGCCCTGCCCAGGAATGTCTCTGAGCGAGATACAAGGACATGCTAACATCATAGGAGACCCGCAGGTAAACCAGCTGATCAGTTTCTAAACCAAAGAAGCTGCACCAGTAGGGCATCTTTTAAAAGATAAAGTAAAAAGAACTATGAAATATGCACTATTAGTACTAATGCAAACATATTTACATTGCAAAGTAATCTTCTAGATAAGCACCTGACGTCCGTAAAAAGATCTAAAACGACTGTTTAATTTCTTTTTTAAATCATAAACTTATATTTTAGGTTCTCAAACTGATTGTTTGGAATCAACCCAAGTCTGGAATCTAATACTCAAAAAGTCTTCTGCAAATGGTGAACATGTTCAGCCTGTTTCATAACATCCTTTCCAAAATTCGAACAATGTTCAAGCAATGACCAACCATAAATCAGAATAACAGTCAGCAAACAAAACGGGAGGTCACATACGTTTAAGTTTTGCTCCAAACGTTTCGTTATTAATGTTTATTTGGTATCTTGAGCCTTATCTACTGTAATATAAGGGACTACAAGTATATCCAAGCCGTGCATGCCAAAAGTTGATCTTGATAGCTGTACCTGTAGCCATTTTTGTGGCGTTAGGGTTGATTAGATGTGTTGAACATTGTGGCAATAAAACAATGACAGGGCAGTTTGATAACATTTTCTTTTTGTTTGATAAAACTATTAAGATGCAGATGATGAACCGAAGACCTGACAGTGAAAATGGATGCACGGTGAAAAGTCCCACACAGGAAGCAGTAATAGGTCAGTTCAACTGTTATGTTTACCGTTTGTTGTATTAAATCACACTTTGAATGTCCTGGTACCTGAAACAAACATGAACTCTGTTAGTTTTATCTGTGCTTACCGTTTCACAGCGTGCAGACAGAAGTGAAGACCAAATATGACAGATGTGTGTAAGTCATGAACACAATAAATCTGCTTCAATCAGTCAAACGAACTTGCACAATGCAAAGTTCTGTGAGTTTGTGCTTCTTCCATCGTTTCTGTTAGATTTGTTCCAACTCTGCTTTTGCATCAAGGTAAAAAAAAAAGAAACCATTTCACCAGAAGTGGATATCATTCATAATGTGCTCCAACGAGAATACCGTGTGCAGGTTTAAACCTTCATCTTTACACATTCATGCACAGAAAATCTGCATGTGAAGGTTCATTGAGTTTAGTGGATTTTCTTCATCCTTCACCAGAACTGTTGGTGTCTGATGGTGCAGCTTAACTTAACTGTTTTCAAGATTTTTTATGTAAACTCTTGGACCACAAGAAGGCAAACACGGATGCTTTAAGAAAAGTTCAAGCAAAACTTAAAGCTCATTATACTTTTTCTATAGAACAGGTAGAGGACAGGTGAGAGGTCCGGCTGCAGTTTCAGACTGCTGAACACCAGCCCTTGAGGGTTAATCCTCTCATTAAAATTTCATCTCTTCATTGACTAAGAATCATCATCCAAACCACTGCAGGGTGAATTAGCTCCACTTTAGCTCTGACATGAATCTTACTGTCAGGACACCCACAAAAAAAATAAAAATCTTATAAAATGCACTTTAAAACAACCCAGTATTCCCAATGAAGTCACTGTTGTACCAAGTAGCTGCTTGTTTATGGTTGTATTTTAAGTCAGTTATCTTTACTTCTGTATTTTTAATTGATCTCAAATCTAAACGAGTCAAAACTACCTGAAAGAGAACTATAAATAATATTTGTTAGGCTTTTATTTGTTAATATATGCACTGAAGCACACTTATTATTTCGTTGTTTTCCAAGTTTTTGTCAAGATTTTATCCCACAACTTTTAAAAAATATAAAACTACATCAAATTGCTCAGCAAGGATGACAATTGTATGGTAGTATTTATGGTGGCAGTATGTTGCATTGTGTAAATTAAATATGCGCAAAATGGTGGAAGAAGTCCCCATAGATAATGGGATTCAGTGGAAGGGCGTGATAAAAGCCTGATCTATTTGGAGCGCTGCAGCTCAAACGGACTTCAAAGCAGAAACGTTGTTTAAAGTTTAAAAGAATCACAGAAATTTAGACTTTATGTGACTGAACGAGTGTTTGGATACAGTAGATTCAGTGTTTCTGACACAATCACAGTTTAAGTTTGACGACTTCTGGAGATTTTACCATAGAATATATAACAAAGTTTGATGTTGCCATGTACTTTCCATATTTGGGCTCAAAACTTGTACTTATTTTGACAAAAATTACACTTATTCTTCAATTTGTATATCAAAATTGAGATATTTTGTCTTATTTCACTTAGTGTGTACTGCTATCCAACTTATAGTTTTATCTCAAGTCTCACCAGAGTGCAAAGTCCAGACATTGTGAATTTTGTGAAACCTCTCCTTAACTGGTCATATCTCCTAGATAAACACTGCAGAAACATAAAACAAAAAAACACACGCACAAATGTGACTATCAGAGTCTTCTGCCGCTCAGACTTAGTTTTTTTTTTTCAATAAAACTTGTAGTTTTCAAACAGCAACTGTTTGTTTGAGGCTTAGTGGTTTCCCTGTTCTTCTCTAAAATGCAGCTGTGTGATGCCCCGCCCCTTGCTCCCCCAAAAAAGTGGGAATCACCATGGCAACTAGTGACCCAAGCAGTTTCTAAGTGCCTTGTTTTCTATATTGCCCAACAGGCTTTTATTTTTTTTTTGATTTTTCCATCCTGGCCACATCCATAGGCCCTTTATTTTATGTTTTTGAAACTTCAGGTCCTCTTAGATTTTTTTTTTATTGAGTTCATGTTAGAGATTCAGGCAGACACTGAAATGTAATTATTATTATTTTTTTAACATAGGTGAGGATATATTTTTTATATGAGATGAATTAATTTGTTTTCAAACACAAAAACATTCTGTATTATTTTTCTTTTATGTCCCTGAAAACAGTCAAATTTAAAGTAGAATTTACAAACCAAAACAAACCTCAAGGCTTGAATAATAAAAAAAAAAATAATTACAGTCTGTTTTGGTTTGTAAGAGAGGTTGCCAACAACTCATCAGGAGCAGCTCTGACAGTTACGTGGAGCCTTTTTTCCTTCGTGGTTGATTAATCTCCAACTCGCCTCGCTTTGTTGATCAGAGCATCTTGATTTGGACAGGGTTTCTTAAAGAAGCTTTAATTTATACAGGATGGAAACAGGCCGCAGACAGGAGCATCAATGCCTGTCATCTTTGAAAGTTACAGATAAACAACAAGACGTTTGTTTTCTGGTTTTCTGCTGCATTTTTTTGGCATTCCTGGATATTAAATATGATGAAAAAAATCCAACATGATAATCATTTAAACACCTGGTTGACAGTTTTGAACTGAAATCTGATTATAAAATGTCTTTTTCTACTCATTCACAAAAAAAAATGTTCAGTACAAATGACTTATTGATGTAAACTGTTGTTCAAGCTTTAAATGTGTTAAATTATGAATAGTTTCTGCAAATTATGCCTTAATCCAAACCGGGTCTGTATAAAAATACCTCCTAGAAGCACAGCAACACTTTGTTTTGACTAAATCTACCATGATCAGAGCAGCAGTGTTGTTCTGTCCCATCCATGATTGAGGTCGGTACCATAGGTTCTGTTTGAGGCGAACAACAGCCTCACCTTCCATGTTGGAGGCATACTGAAACGGATCAATTGTTGTTTTCAGTGATTTTGTTGTTTCACAGAACACCGAGTCACAGAAATTACTCCTAACTTTCAAGTTAAGACGGTATTGATGAACAAACTCTGTTCTGTGTCAGAAGTTTATTCTGGTTTCCATCAAGACTGACTCAGACATCTGTGCTGAAAGGTCTTTAAAGTGAAATACATGGATGTTAAATGTAATTTAATCAAACATATTATGAATAAAATGGTCGGTAGCCGGGTTGCATGTGGATAAACCTCAGGATCAAGGATGCTCTCTCTCCTCGGTTTATGTTTTGAAGATTGAAGCTGTTCATCTTTAAACGGTTAGGACTTTGGAACAATACAAAGAAGAAGAAAGATGAGCTCGTTCAAACCCTGAGGAGGACGGTATACCGTCCCAGATAGGGTCTCGTGTGAGCTTGTCTTAATTAATAAAGAAAAGCAGCAGTTGTCTTCTTGCCTACAGGTTTCTAACTGCAGGCTGCAAAACAACAAAACAAGCCTGCATGGCTGCAGATGCTGGAAATCTTTTCTTTCTTGCATACTTAAAAGAAAGCAGTTTGAGGTACAGCAGGGGTCGTCAAGAGAATGTGCTCAAAGGCCATCATTGTTTTACCAGGCTCTGCCAGGACCGGCCTTTGACTCTGATGGGCAGAATAAAGGCAAGCAAATAACTTAAGGAAAGATTTTAGTCCAATTAGCCTGTTTAGTATTATATTCCTTAATACAAACTATAATTATTATTATTATTAGACCTTTATTTATAAAAGTTAGTTCTCACTGAACCTCGAAGACTCATTTACAAGAGAGACCTGTTACATACAACATACAGGCAGATGAGAAAAAGAGAACATGAGGATGGAGGAAGTCCCCCAAAAATTTCATGTCTCACACCATGTCCTGGCCAGGAAACCATGTGAAGGATGCAAAAAAAAAGACCTCGCAACATACAATGACATCATAATCCATTTATGCATAGAGATCGACAAAGGCGGTGAGTTGTGCATAAACACTCCAGAAAGTTCTGATAAGATGGTACAGTGTCTACCAGCATCATGGTTCTGATAAGGCCACAGATGTCCTCGGGAGGGGGGCAGGGCGGCAGAAGCTTCTAGTTACGTATCCTCCAGGAGCAATTTGAAATAAGCTGGCCTGTCCAAGACCAGCGGGGAGGCCAAATTCAGATAAACAACGATTGTTTGGGCCACCAGACTCTGTTTTCTGTCTGCCTTCAAGTTCTGCTGGTACACTCAATGATGAATCCAAACAACCAGATTTGTGGACATTCTGCACGGTCCATTCTCGATTTAGCATTCTCCAAGATTGAATCCTTCATGCTGGTGAGTTCCAGGAGCCACAAGTAGCCTACGATTCTCAGAAATCGCATCCAGCTTGTGGTTGAGCTCGTTAAGCGTATGAGTCTGAGCGCTCAAAGCACATATTAGTCCTTCACATAAGGCTGGCAGCTTTACCATGGCCAAAACTGCTGCCGACGTCTTCCTAATTTGTCGATATCCAAGGTATCCGCCTATTCCAAAAAGCAGAAACCCTGTTATCATAAATCCAATAATGTACACATCTTCTACGTCCTCCATGGACAAACAGATAAACAAACCATCTTCCACTCACTCCAGGAATCCATGACATAACCAGCTGCGATGGTCCGTTCAGGGCATGAGGGCTCTCCAGCATCATGTCGTCTGGTGGACAAAAAAACGATCAATTGCGTTGAGGGACCAGCTGACCAGATCCATAATAATTTCAGATCCATGAGATGTGTAAAGAGAGGCTCTGAGGACAAAATAGCAAAAAAGCAGGAGGGATGGTAAGAGCGACCGTCCTCATCGAAGGCGAAAGAGAGAATGATAGATTTTATTCACCTGCTTCACCTTTAAGAGTTGCGGGGATCTGGTGTCTGTCTCCAGCAGACCGCTACTCCGCTACTCCACCGTGTCACCAGCTGCTTTTGTTTATTTTTTTATTTTTTTGAAAACTTAGAGGGAAGAGGAAAAATCGAATTTCAATCCCAGTTCCTAAAAAAGTTGAAATGATGTGTAAAATATAAATAAAAACAGAAATTACAAATCTCACGAACCTTAATTTAATCCACAACAGAACATAATGAACATTTCACATGTTGAAATGTAGAAAATATAAAACTGCATTTGTAGCTCTTACATGAAAGTCTGGCTCCTTGGAAAGAAAATAGAGAAACTAGAGGTGGATCAAGACTTTTGCACGGCACTGTATAAAAAATAAAGCGCTTGTTTACAGTTCATGCCATACAGTTTATCGTTACAAACATTTCATAATCACTGATGCATGCTAACAGTCATGAACCCATCCAACATCTGTGAAACTAACTGGCGCTTCAGATCGGTTTGATCTGCACCATGGTGTGATTTTTCATTTTTATCAGTTAATTATTGGACTTTTTTTTTTTCAAACCACCAACTTAAAATATATTTTTAATGAGCAAGCTGTAATTTTAGTCTTCAGGAGTGGAGATAAGCTGATAAACGGCTGTGAAACAAGCAAAACGAGTCCATTTTGCACAGATTTCCTGCATAAAAACAGATAATAATGAACCATTTATATTTTAAATGTTTCCACCACCATGGCTGCCCTGCTCTTTCTTCTTCCATCTCCTCTCCTCCAAAACCACTTCAGCTGTTCTCCTTGTGCCGCAGGCTCCGGCTGCAAGATGCGAACGTTGGACAGTGGAATTGGGACCATCCCTCTCCCAGAATCCTGCTCCTTCTTCTCCTCCATCCTGCACCTCCTCCCCAAATCCTCCTCCACCCCAGAACAGTCCCTTAGCCCCCACAGCATCCCCAGTTCCTCCAGCGAGGATGTGTCTCCTTCCCCGTTACCCCGATGGAGAGTCCCCTCCGGCAGCCACACCAGGGTGCTGAACTCCCTGTCGGAGTCCTCCATGACCCACGTCCCGCCTGTGCCTTTCCCCACCGTGGCCTTCCTCCAGCCCCTTCAGTCATCGTCTGAACCAGTCATGACCTCTGCCAGTGTGTGTGACACCATCAGCAGGCTTCCCAGAACCCCTAAAGGTACGGTAAAGGGTCATAAGTTTCAGCCATGACCCCATGAGGGTGCAGTTAGCCAGGCGGAAAACATGCAACAGTGTGTCATATGCAGGGCCGGCCCAAGGCGTAAGCAAACTAAGCAGCTGCTTAGGGCCCCATGGTCACTAGGGGGGCCCTTAAGTGGAATTGAATTTATTTATTTAATTTTAGTATTGATTTCTATATGATTCTATTACACACAATTTCATTATAAAGTTGTGATTTTTTAAAATAATTTTATATGTATATATACTGTACGTGTGATCATGTAGAAATCATTCTTTATACATGCAAAAAGGAAAAAAATATATTTTTAATTTTGTCTGTTTTTGCACAATTTAATTTATTTTTATGCATCTAAGTTATTTTATCTGTTTGTTATTGATCTTAAACTACAAATTATTTTGAACATTACTGTGCATATTTAGAAAGTTTTCAGAACTCTTTAGCAGCTTTTCTTTAAGTGACTAGCAACAAATCTAGAAACCTGTCCTAGTGATAATGGAGACTTTGACAATGTGACGTCTCATTCTTACTCTTCTCTCATCCGAAATATTATTCCTCCTTCCTGCAGTGTCCATTACTGTTACATGAACATGGCCAGTTTTGTAAATCATGTGATGATGTTTTACCTCCACAGGTTATCAGATAAGACACCAGGATAGTTAGTTAATTTTTCTACCTAACAATGGGGTTAGGGCTTTTGGGGGTTGCACAGGGCACAATCTTTAGTCCCCCAATTTTCCCCCCTTTTTTTACTTCCTATGGGTTCAATATTCAAGAAGCAAAAGAGCTTTTGTCATTGTTATGCCGATGATCATCAGATATAGATAGAGAAGGATGCTGTTTCTGTTAACCCACTGTTGTGTTTTGAAGATAAAGCCTGGATGGCTCTAAACATTCTTGATTTTTAGAAAAGGAAACCAGAAGTGATAGAAGTGATGGTGTTTGGTCCTAATGGCTCCGGTGTCCCGTCCCTCATGTTTTTCTGCTTAAATAGAACAACATAATTGTCATTTCTTATCTGTTTTAGACTCTCTGTTAGAATAAAAAAAAAACTGAACAAACCTTGTTTATTTTTAAGGTTAATTATGTAAATAAAGAAAAAAAGTTTAATATTATGTTGCTGTTTTTTTCCAGAAGGAATGGAACCAAAGAAGTTGACTCATATCAAATCCAAACCTAGAGCCACGCCGGGCCAACAGAAAGAACAGACGAGGCTTCAACTTGCCAATTGTAAGAGACCGACTGCGAGCTGAACTTTTCTGCAGCTGCTTGTTTCTAATTCTTCTACAATGTCAAACAGATTTATAGACATAAACAAGGTTGCACAGTTTTTTTTGAGAGGTTAAGTTTTATAGCGTTGCTGTCTTTGCGATGCATTCCGTCTGCAGGAACCCTGAGAAATGAACTTTATCTCACAAAACACTTCCTGCTGCTGTAAACACACATCCAGAGGCAATAATTAAACTTTTTACACTCTGAAAAATAAAAGTGCATCTTGCCTCAAAACTACCTTGGGCTTTAAAATCCATCACCATTAAATTTCCGTCCCACTGAGCAAAAAGCAGCAAAACACTCTAGGAGTTTCTCAAACATAATTTGAATCTTACTACACTACATTAACGCTGGCATTTATAATAAATAAGTGTTTGTGTGCCAAATAAAGTTATTAGATAAGACTTTGTCACAAAACTAGCCACAGGTGGCAAGCAGCAAACATAAGATGTGCATTAGGACTGAAAAATAAACCAATGTTTGTGGAAAAACATCAACATACATGCTTTGTCCCCCATCGCGGAGTGAAGTGGAGAATTGAAAATACGTTCTGTCCGTCCGTCTTGTGAGCATAACGTGAAAATTAAATTAGGTACAGACTTCCATTTTGGTGTGTTTCTGTTAATCATAAGAAAATTGGGATTCCATGTCAAAATCCAA